TTGTTTGCAGGATGTTAAAAAAAAAACCGATTGTAATGCAAATACTAAAAATAGATTATAGAGTATTATTTAAATAAATTTATTAAGCTTGTAATCTTCTAAAAAAAAAGAGTCCAACAATATACTGATGGCATTTTAATGATCAAATATACCGGTATATGCCAATAGATAAGATGCACATGTAACCAATTTGGCTGTACTTACTATATAGGGTATCCGAGAAAATATCGCGCAACTGGTTGTAGTTACAAGAAAGTTAAATAACAAAAGTTTCCACAGTTCTGAATCAGTCACAAAGTGTATGTAAAAATTTTTATGATCTTTTCATGTTCTTTTCGAGTGAAGGTCAATATAGCTTTTTTTTTTAAATGGACACCTACAATTTTTTTTGGCTATTTTAGTAGTGGTCATTTGAAATTGAAATTATAGGTAGTAAAAAATTGTTACTATACATCGTTTATAAGATAATCGGCATCTTAACTGATTAATACTGTACTATAATTCATACTCCATGTTATACAGATACATTATTTATAAATCAAATAATCGTATGTATATTTTGACAAGTTAAAGGTCAATGATCCCGTTCAATGTAATCGACTTATCGACTTACTAATAATTTGACGATTGTTTTTTAGATTATGATATGGAAAACTAACTACTTTAATATTTAAAATGTTGATTATCTCGTAAATAATCCATAATAACAAATTTTTACTAGATATGATTTTAATTGAAAATAACTTAAATAATTGTAAATACGAAAAATTTTAGATATGTAACATTTGAAAAACCTATGTTGACCTTTATAATTCAGAAAGATTATATACATAAAAAAATATTTTTATATGTACATTATGGTCGACTCAAAAACATATAAATTTCTGTAGTATCAATCAGTCGCGAGATATTTTCTGTAGTATTTATAGAAGGTTATCTTGTATATATACAGAATGTAAAGAATAAAATAGAAAATAATTTTTTATCATCTACTATTGCACTTTATTCTCAAACATACAAGTTATACAAATAAAAACACTATACAATATTTATGATGCATTATCTACTAGAACTATAATATTATACGGAATATAAGTTACATCAAAATGATAAATATATAAAATAGTAAAAATTAATATGGAAAGTGAGAAGTCTTATATCGTAGGTGTAAATAGCTGCAGAAGGATGATACTGTTTACAGCGATCAATTACTTATATCGAATGATGTGAATTTGGACATTTTAATGTGTAAAATATCTCACATTGGAAAAATGCCTGCTAAGACTGAAATTTGCACAAAAGTTTTATTTCTCCACTGCAGGATTCACCAAGCCATTTATTTTTTAATTTTTTTGAAATCCTAATGACGATTAGTTATCACATTCAAAATATTTTACAGAGATCATAATATACTTTGGTATTATATTAAGATGTAACAGACCAATTAATAATGACGAGTTGAATATTGCATCTACGAATGATACAAATGATTTTATTTTCACAATGATGAGAATATTACTATCCTCTGTAAAATGTAATGAATTTGGTAAATTTATAATGTCACGATTTAAGATTTTAGTTTAACTAGAGTCAATCTCGGGACTCTTCTTTAACTATAGGTGACAATGTGTGATCATTTCCACCTTCTATATAGTCATTAGAAGTAATATTAGTCTTGGCTTTAAAGTCAGTCTTAAAGTTTCCTTGTTGGGTTTTAGCATCATCTTGAAATACTTCTGCAAAATGAAAACTATTCCCATTACCAGTCTTTGCATTTAAATTAGCATTGTTGATGGAACTGTTAGAGTGAACTTCGTTAAAATGCTTATATAACATTAACGTTGTACTAAATTCTATTTCGCATCCAGGAATTTTGCATCTGTAACATCAATAAATAGAATCAAATACAATATTTAACAAATATTTGAAATACTTCAAATGAAAGATATTACCGAAATACTTCATTATTTTTAGCAGCTTGTACCAATGGAGGTTTTGTATTGGCATGATTGTCCTGATAATGCTGCCATAGGCCAGTTACATTATTTACTTGTACACCACAACCAGGCATCTTGCATCTAATTGTGACATACACACAAAATCATATTAGACAATTATTATATAATATATGTATACACACACACTAATGTCTTACAGGAAAAAGCTAATGGTGGAAGCCCTTCCTTGTTGTTTTACTTTCGTAATACACTTATTAGTATTTGTGCTAATTGAGTTAGTTACTAATTTATGACTGTCTTGATGATGACGATAATGCGATATGTATTTGTACTTTTTCCCACAACCATTTATATCGCATTTATATATTTCTTGTTTATATCGAGACATACGTTGTTTCTTTGGCATATATTCCTCATCATCTGAACAATTACTATTAGTTTCAATAGCGCTATCTTCTATTTTTGAATTTTCTTGTTCCAATCCACTCCTAAATACTCTTTCTAAATTTCCCAGATCTATTCTATGTTCTTGATTTTGTAAATTTAAATTGTTTGCTTCTCCTTTAATATTTTTTGTGATAGTGACATCTCCATTAATGTAAACTACATTATTCTTTTCTTGAGAATTTTCAATTGGTATTATTTCTCCAGTTTTTGAAGAGGCAGTATCGTATTTGATTAAAAAATTCTCTTTTGTTATAAGTAAATCCTTATTCTTTGGAAATTTATTAGCTCTATTTAAACATTCATTATTTGTAGGATATTCTTCACTCTTTGAACTGGCAGTAACATTATTCTGATCATGACAAAAATCTTTCGTTTGTGAGATTGTACCATTAAGCCTATTAAAACCATCTCCTTTATTATTATAATCTGTCACACTTAAAGCAAAATTGTCATTTCTTTTTTTATCATAACTGCTATCTTCACTATTTTGTGTGGTATCTTCCTCTATTGCATTATCAGGCCCCTCAAAACATATTATTTCCGGTTCAGTTGGCAGTGTTGGTGGTTGACGATGGCAACTTTCTATGTGTTCTTCAAGATTACAACTAGTTGTGTGTACAGAACCACAATTTGTATAAGGACAAGCGAAAACATTTGTTTCACTGTTGTGCCATTCTTGATAATGACGCCACATACTACCAGGGTCAGACAATTCCTCTCCGCATCCTGGTTCACGACAGCTGACGATTAACAATAGTTTTAATAAAATATCATTAACATATTTCATATTAAAACATATTAAAATGAAAAGATAAATTTATTCACATGTGCCAAATAAATTTCTATATAAAACATATAGAATATAATATAATATTTTAAAATATCTCTCATAACAAAAAAAAAATTTATTATATATCTTGAAACACAATTGCTTACATAAATCTAATTTTTAAAGCTTCAAGTGCTTCATGTGTTTTGTATTCGTCTTGGTTGGTGAATATTTTTCCACAGCCCCGTTGTTTGCATGTGTATACTTCCTGTAAATATTATAAAAGTCTTTTTTTTTTACAGTAGTTTTATTTTTAAGAACATTAATGTATAAAAGTATACAAAGTAATATATATTATATTATATAGTAAATCACATTAATTGACAAAAGAGGAATGTAAATAGTTTTGACTTAAAGGTCATTGAACCTACTCACAAAGACAGTAAAATTTACCTTTTTCGGTGCGATTTCTTCGATCGTATGATTTCTAGATACAAATCTAATAACACTAACTTCGGTAGGTCTGTCGGTACACGTTTCTGTTCCTTGTCCCATCGTATCCGCCACTTTGTGCGTAAACGGAATTAATTTCGGATTCACATAACCTATAATCGCGAATGAATATTTGACAGAGAACAATATCGTTTTTATTGAATGAAAAAACATAAAGGATTAAAAGTTTGAGAAAAAAAAGGATTCTTTGCGATATTTACCAACAATATATAATTTCGTTCACGCGAAAACGCGTCTCGATATCTTCACAATTTCACATTATCATTTCGACAATAAAAACAGTTGCTTGTCATCATGTCAGTGCGTGTGAACTGATGCGAATACGAAATACATATAAGAGACTGCAGCGCTTATTAGGAGTTACTGACCATTTATATTTTTGATAATGTTCTTATCAAATTCGAAATTAAGGACTTTGTGTACAATTTTTATTAGATTATAAAGATTTATTTGAGATGAACATATCGTATTTTTATATATTAAAAGAGCGATATGAAAATTAATTTTTGAATCACGAATGTAAATATATAATCAAAAATAGGATAAAAATAAATCCATATGTTAAAATAGACAAGAATTTATCATAAAAAAATATAATTCTTTTTCTTTTCATATTTAAGAAATTTTGAAGTATTTACAAAAAGTATTGACAATAATACGATACGAAAGAATACAATTGAGATTTTTTGTTCCTTAATTCCTTAGCTTTCTATTACATGATTGATGTAAAAAATATTTATTGGTCCCCGAAAACAAATTTTTATAACAGTTCTTTTGTTAATCGAACACGATAGATATAACATATTCAATTTTTATTGATTTCATAGTGATTTAATTAAAATAATGTTGTTGCACATAAAGGTGTAACAACAATCATTATAATTTAACATTATAATTATAATAATTATAAAATATCAATTATTTCAACTATACGCCCTTTTTGTATTTTCTTTTTTTACCTGTCCGACAGATGTCAGGAGATATTTCTTTACTTTTTTATAATATATAAATAGAAAGAAAATCAAATGTTGCTTGAACAATTATAACAAATTAAAGACTGGAATCAATAAATTTATGTTAAAGATTTTAGAGTACCCTTTAGATGTACGCCATATTTTTGTGTATAAAATACTATTCATTTCGGATATACCTTCGTAAAAATAAAATATCGGAGACATGCGCGCGAAACTAAGAAAATGAATGCAGTGGCGCTACCAGTGTATTTTAGACTAACTGTTGGCAATCCGAATTTCTTATTGGTCGATACCTCAGCGCGCTTCTTTTGCAACGCTTCCGTTTCTTCCGTTACTCGTCGATGCTTCAGTTACGCGCTTGCCGTTGTCGCGAGTATGCAATAAGAAGAGAAAGAAAGTAGTTTTCGATAATTTTATCGCATAATCGTACTAGTTGCAACGTTCACTGTTCTTTTTCTTTCTCTGCATCTCTCTCTCATTCTCTCTCTCTTTTTTCTGTTTCTTTCGATTTTTCATTATCGAGTAAAAACGAACGAAAAGAAATTCTTTGTGAACAATTTACGTTCATCTCGTCGCGTTCCATTATTACAGTGTGAAGCTGGATGACCATCGTTGTCGAACGTTACTTGAAAGAGGTAAGCACGTTTTATTTCTTTTAAAGGAATACACAAAGTTGCTCTTTCTATGATATCTCTCTATTTAATATTTCGTCCGTTTCTCTGTTCTATGATATTTATTTAGTTTCTTCATAAAATATGAGAAACGAATATCCATCGTTACAACGAAATTTAAATTGCTATAAATAATCTTTTGGAAAAGAAATACTTGCAAAATAACGACTATGTGATAAAACATTTTTTTCATTAGCATGAGTTTACGTATCTCGCTAAACAGATTAAAAATTTTTATTTATGCTTCCGACGAAGCACCGAATTTATTTTTAACGATATATGTACTTTATCGGATACGAAAAATTAATTAATATGAGTGTTATTCCGATATCGTGCAGTTAATTTTATTGGAATTGTGGAAATATAAAAAGCCTATGAAATTTTTCTTTTTGTTTGCAATTAACAAATCGAATCCGAATGTTATACAAGATATTCGGATAATTGTTCATTTAAAATGGAACTATGTTTTGAATCGAAATATGTTTACTTCGATCGATTGCATGATTTAGTTGATACTTTTATCTATCGGAAGTACGAAAAGTTTTTCCATTATTTTTTCATCTCAAGTAACGAACGTTTCTTCATCTACCGGATAGAAGAACGTAGAACTGTTACTCCCTGCGAAGAGAGAGAGAGAGAGAGAGAGAGAGAGAGAGAGAGAGAGAGAGAAAGGGAGAGAAAGAGAAAGAGAGACAGACCGAGAATACCTTGTCCCGAGAGTACCTGAAATTATAGCGTTATCCGTTTTCGTTCTTTCTTCTTTTCAAATAGTAGAGATTTGTTACCTGTATGAATCTTTTTTTCTTTTAGTATAGTTAGTTGTGTAAAAGTTTCTAAAAGTTCGTGCCTCTGGAATTTCAACGTGTTCTACGAAAATATTTCTTTTATATGTTTACAATATATTATATTAAATATATGCGGTATATGCTTTCAACATAATCGAAAAATCTATTACTAGACCATACGGGAAGCAACACTATTTGTAATAGGTATAGTATAGAGATATAGGCGCGTCGAGACGTCCAGACGTAAATCGATCGATTGTGTGCTACCGGTCCTCGAACTCGCTCTCTGCACTCTATGTACACATATTCGTGCATATATTCTATCAACTGAAAATAATATTGCTCTTTGACATACGCACACACACATACACACAAATAGAATATTGCGGAAAAAGAAAAATAAATAATCTATTATCGAACGGACAAATAATTATACGATTGAATAAACAAAAGGAAAAAAAAACGAAGTGTTAAGGTTACATTCCTAATAGAAATTTTTTTTTCTATTTTAAATATATTTGGATTTATTTTTGTATATTTTTTTTCTTTTTTCCTCCTTTTTTCTTTTTTTTTTTTTTTTTTCCTTAAACGATTCACAGTTACATGGTTTTCTTAACAGATTTTTATTCACACCTACTCATTCTTTCATTTATGTATCTCATACGACAATATTATCACGGTTTCTGGCTTAAGATAGGTATCATATGGTTAATAAGAGTTCTAAATTGCAACGGCAAATTGACTCAAATCGGGTGGAGGAAATGTGATTAAATTTGACTGATTGAAGAACCACGACGATTCGTTTTGTCGAACAAAAACGCGTAATATACGTTTATTAGATTATTTAATAATAACAATAGATCCTTTTCGACTTGTGACCAAGTGAAACTGGACGATATAATAACAACAGCATAACGTAGTCTTTCAATTGATCTTTAATGACAGAAAGTAAATATCTAGTTTTTTCTTTTTCCATTTTTTTTTTGTTTTTGTTTTTTTTTCAATATCATGTACGAGATCGTAATAATATACATTCTATAGATGAAAGAACTGCATTTTTTATAATCTTTTTCTAATAGATTTTTCTAATTCTTAAATATGTAATGAATACTTAATAATATCATTAATTAATATACAATCAAATAATAATATAAATCGGTATATAACACAAAATTTATTATGCGAATGTTCATTTAATTGAGAACGTTTAAGTTTAATATGAATATTTTGTCTGTACTCCATTCAATGGTATTAATTCTATTCAGTGGTGAACGATGAGCCAAGCGGATCAGGACAAAGATAAAAGTATGGACAAAAAGGAAATTGCGGAGGAGGAGAGGGAGAAGATGCTAAACGCCGAGAACACTAAACATACCGGTGCTGCACCTGCATCTGATTTAGAATCCGAGGAGAATAAACCGAAGAAGAAGATACCAATTGGCGGTATCAAGATGCCAGGATTTTGTCGTACCAAGAGCAAGGAACCATGCAAGGTAAATTTAAAAAAAGAAAAAAGAGTTAAATGTAGTAACATTGAACTCTTAATATTTTTAAACATTAATTATTTACATTATTATATTAAAAAGAAACGAACTTATATATTGCAATTACCTATAAGAACTTACAAATTATTAAATAGTATAATAATAATAATAAGAAGAAGAAGAAAAAAATTACATAATTATTTAATGATATTAAAATTGTTTATTAACAATTAAACGTAGACAGAATTATCTTATAATTATCCAATGCGCGTCTAGCTCCGTTATATTTGAAAGGATTTTCTGAAAAGTTTTCAATAATGTCAAATGATTTTTTAATAATTATTTATTAATAAATATATTTATCTTAATAATTCAGCTCAATATACCTGTAAAATTTTCCATTGTTTTTTTTTTTGTTCATTCATCGTCCTTTAATGAGTTCCTCATCGATGCCAGGTGCACAGTTTGACGTCATGCGGTTTAACGTTGGAAAAGGAAATCGTTACGGGGTTGCGAACACCCTTCGTGAGCGCACCGTGAGGGCAGCGTTTACGTTCTTCGAGGCGAGTTTACCTCGCAAAAGGGTTTCCATAGTAACGTTAAAAAACACGTAATAATAGACCGATATCGGCTTGATCGTCGATTTACAAGCCTAAGAGTATTATTACCTTTTTAATATTTATTCGTCCTTAATGTTAAAATTTTGGAACATTTTAAAGATTCTCGATAAATATTATTTACAAATTATTTTCATCTTAAATTTTCTGATCATTCGTTTCATCAGAAATATTTTTAAATAGAATATAATTATCATCATCTCGTGAGAGAAATTTAGTTATTTTTAAGGATAAAATCACTTTTTCATTTTTTTTATATTCTTTTCTCAATATGAGTATACTTTCGAATTTGTAGAAAGGAATATTAGAATATGATCTTCTCTTTATTTTCAATGAATAATGTTTTCGACTAATCTTGCCTTTCAACGGCCATCGAATGTGATTCACAATCTTCCTTAAATGACTCTCATTTGCGGAGAAAATCTGCCACCTTACCAAGTTTAATCGAACTGTAATGAGAATCGTATTTCATTTTGTTGTACGCTTTCAGAATATTCTAATTTATGCTTTGTACCATTTAATAATGCTATTCAGCTTGTCGAAGATGCCTTTCTTTCTATTTTTCGACCTACATTCTGACGTTCGTATAAATTTCTGCGTCAACGTACTGCCTTCTCTTTGTATTTTCTCGTCTTTTATATCTTTCTTCTTGTCTTCTATTCTCGTTCTAAAAAAGAAATATGCTTATTTGGAACGGTACTTCTTCGAGAATAAACATTTATTCATTTGCTTTTCCTTTTTCTTTCTTTTTCTTTTCTTTCTTTTTCATTTTTTCTTTTTTCTTCTTCATCTTTTTTTTTTTTTTTTTTTTTTTAATTAAGAACATAAATGTCTTATATATCTTGTAAGTTTATGGTGAATAATTCGTTTCCTCGCAATCTATACATTTAAATTTATTCTTTGTGTTCCATTCGAAGGGTCGAGCATTCGAAAATAGAACTCTTTCTGTTTCTTTCTTTACCGACAGTCATAATGTGAATAATAATATATTACACTTTTTACTATTTATGGCGAAGTAGTGAGCCAGAGAATAAGAAAACATTTGCTTTTGAAAAAAAATTTGTCGAAAGAATTCAGAGACACGTGGCGTTCGCATCATTTTCTTTCCTTTTCGTTTCTTTTTTTCTTACGTATGATTAAATTAAAAAGCTCATGTAAAATACAATTCGTTCATTTCGACTTTTATTTGAAATGCTTGAAACATTGAAATGAATTATTTTTATTAATACATTAATTAATATAATTTAATTTACGTACAAACATATATTAAATTAATAAAAATTAAAATTAAAAATTAATATTTACGAAATTGAACATTAAATAAAGTATGAATGAAAGTATTAAAACGAGTTTTTATTAAAAGAAAGAAAAAAAAAAATGAAGACAGAGAATTATAACAAATGTTTGGTGTAAGTTTTGATTTATTTAAAAAATGAATAAACTTAACGGTAAAAGTGTTGGAGTAGAATATAAGTCGGTCACAATCGTTGATGATATTTTTGGAAGAATGTGTAAAAGGATTTTCTTAGATAAAAATGATGAGTTTTGTCGATTTCGAGCGAGCACAAAGTACAAATACCGAAGAAGGGTGAGCGTGCAAAAAAGACAGATAGCTTTCTATAGGAAGAAAAAGCTAGAACATAATAAAGCGTTTGTAGGTATGTGTATGTGTATATGTATGAAAAAGAGAGGGATAGAGAGACGTGAATCGTCTTCGTCGTATCATAGAAAATTTAACGAAGGTTCTTTTCGTGCGATTTCTTAGCGCCTTTCTTTTTCTTTTTTACCTTTTTCACTTTTCTCGTGGCGTCTTCCTTTGAAATTCCCAGACTGATGACAATAAGACAGTCTCCCCGAGCCATTGCACGCGACTAATTTCTCCAATTGCCCTTAACTCGTCTTATTACTCTCTTAATTGGCAAAGAAACTTCTCTGTGAAGATGATCACCTCCCCTTCCTTCAAATCGTAACTTTCGAATTTATCGTAAATAACGTATATTCTCGTAGAGAATATCGTAAATAACATATGTATACATAGAGAATGAAAGCATTGTAATGATTTATGGTCTATCGAAGCGTATTATATTCATGTTTATTGTAGATACTTACTAGAGCCAACTGTTCCGTATGTTTCGTACGTTCGTACTATTAAAAGTGCGGTATCGTTGGTATACAAATCACATATTCGGTTATGCCTTTTGATCTGAGATTATTCAAGTGTAAATCAGAAAAGCTTGGGGTTGGGGAAAAGTTTGTTTTGCTTTTCGATATTGTAGGGGAGATCTGGAAAACCGTTGACGAAAACAGCGTCGGATGTTGAATGGAATGAACCGTCAACTAGACAAAATTTCGTTACATTAAAAAATAAAAAAAAAAGAAATTAATATTGTTATTAAATTGAATAGAATTTATAAGAGATCAATAGACGTGTGTGATCATTAAACATCATACTTTATAAAAACAAATGCATCGATTTTTCTAGACCAGCTGAAGAAACGTGACAACGCGTGAAAAATGACATGAAAGATCGATGAAATGACTTGAAAGATTAATCAATGTTAATCAACGCGTTAGGTTGTAAGGGTCTCCACTCGTTTCTTCTAGTCAAAATATTATTTTTCATGTTTCATAGCTTTCTGTTGCTATGGATTTTTCCTATCTCTACGGTTACCCTACGCTTCTTTTATTTCGAACTCGTAAATTTAGCTCAAAAAAGAGTAAAAGTTTTTATGTAAACCTCATCCAAAGTCAAGGGAGATGATTTGTGAAGACTCGTAGACACAGCTTTAAGCTATAATATGTTTTTATGTTCTCTTTTTCAACGTGGATACGATATGACGTATAAAAATAGGAAATGAGTTCGGTGTAAAAGATTTGTATCTGATCGTTCGAGATTCATTGATTGAATTAATAAAAATATTAGAATTTATTTCTACGGAATATGTAAAATTTCAATTGTTCGTTATTTTCAAGATATTAATACAGAGTTAAAGGAAATAACATGCGTTACGAACCTATCCATCGTATTTGATAGATGATTCGTACTATAGTACAAAAAAGATGGAGTCTTGGGTTATAGTAGGTAAACGCCAGGTGCGTTCTCATGGGTGACTAATTTCTAACGTACAATATATATATATATTATACGGTCCTGGTACAAGCAGATTAACATCTAAGGTAATTTCAAAACTTTTTTTTATCGGTTTTTTTAAAAGTTATTTTTTATATGACCTTGTCAATTATGTTATTGAATTATTGATAAACATAAATGTATATATAATACATGGTATATATATTCTCTTTTGTGATATGATCATCATGAGCTTTATCATAATTTTCACGCTCCAGTCTCTCGTTTGGATGAATGCGTATGCATGTCTCGAACAGGAAAGAGTCCATTTTTATTGTACTACTTAATGGTATGTCACCTGGTAGAGGAACCGGAAGCACTCATTTCATTTCGTTGTTTTATGTCACACGACCTTTCTGTTTTCGACTCACGAATTATCAATTTAATTTCAACGTAGCGGAACGTAGTTATAACAAACTCTACCATCCTTTTCATTTTAATTACAGAAATAGTAGATTTTTGGCTATCTCATTATTTTCCTTTCTGTTTGTTTAAAACAGAAAAGAATAAAAAAATATCATCGCAATCATTGATTAAATATCATCTCGTATAAATGATGCGATTATCTAAGCCTCGGAATCTAGTTTGTTTCTGTCATCTGTGTGTTTCTCTTGATTCTTTTCTCTCTCTCTCTCCCTCTCTCTCTCTCTCTTCCTTTCATAAGAGCCTCCTATCTTCTTCTTCGTCCTTTTTTCTCCGGCAGATCTGCTTTTTTGGGGTGGTCGAAAGCCGAAGGCCAGAACCAGAATAACCGGAACCCCTCCGACCAGAGTACGCCACCACATGGCCGAGCACGATGATATTGTGCACTCTCTTTCTCTCGTATTATATCGTTTCACCTACACAATACCAGTGTGTGTTTACATCAATACAGTATATCGCACTACGCGCATGTGTAAGTTCCAGGAGTCCCGTTTTTACGCAATCAAAATTTATCATCCAAATTCGGACCATTTAATATGGTAATAGTGGGGCTTCCTTGATTTTTGTCTTTCTATTTGATTGTCTCTTTTTCTCAAGAGAATCATTAATTTTTTTTTACGAATAACAGGATATTATAGATAGATCATTGTTTCAAAATACAATTAATCGATAGGTATAAGAGGCCTATCATATATATATATATATATATATATATATATATATATACACATATGTATGTATGTATCTACATGTATGCAAAGATTATCACTGTAATATAGCGTAGAAAAGTTTCAATATTCATTTTCATCGAGATAATACAAAACTGCGTTTTAACTGGA